AGCACAGATGAACAGGTGAATTAAAGGACAAAAGTATGAAAGGATGATAAATGAATGAATGAATGAATGAATGAATGAATGAAAGAAAGTATGAAGTTTTACAGTCAATTATTAAAGGAATTGAGTCTTTGGCACAAACTCAAATATTCAAACCTTTGAAACCTGATGTTGTAAACCTTTGATATTTCAAATTCAGAATATTTGATCTAACAGAATTCATAGTTTGAAATATCTAAGGTCTACAACATTTGGTTCCAAAGATAAAGGGATTAGGAAATCTATGTTTGTGGCAAAGACTCTATTCTCCTTAATTTCCATAAAGAGATATTAAGCGTAATTTAAAGTTCCCCTTTATGCAATGATGACAATAACATCGAATGAAGGGAAGAGAAGTTTTAGCCTTCTAAAGAGAATACTTCATTACACAAGATGTACTATGACGGAGAGCAGACTTAACGATCTTGCACTTATGGCTCACTACTGAGAAAATCATTGAAATGTTTGTGCAAGCAAATCCCAGAAAATTGAAGTTTAAAAGAGTTGGTGAATATGTAGATGTAGTAAATTCTTTCTAAAAATTTTAGAAGAAATTTCGTTCTTTCGTTCATTAGTGAAAAATTAATTCTTTAATGATGCTGTGTTTATTGATTTAGTTAGCTCTGATGGAGTTAAGTGATAAAGGAATTGAGTCTTTGGAACAAACAAACACACAAACTCAGACCATTTGATTTAACAGAACTCATAGTTTGAAATATCTAAGGTTTACAACATTTGATTCCAAAGATATATGTGATTAGAAAAGACTCAATTCCTTTATAAATTTATAAAGTTAAAAAGTTAAAGTTAGTTTTCGAGCAAAAGAATAATTTTTAGACTCTATAAGGTTAGTAACACCCAAAAATGTAGTCTTTTTGATGTATTTTTATGGTGTTAATTGACTTATTGAACAAAACAATTTCAGGGGGGGGGGGCAAAAAACAGCCAGGGGGGCAAAAAAATCTTGCCCCCCCTGGCTAAAATCCTGTGTACGCGCCTGATAAGGATCATGTCTCTAAACACTTTAAGACGTATTTTGGTAAAAACAGGTGAAAAACATAATTTATAAACTGATGTATACAAAATAGCTTCTGACTTATTTTTGAAATAGATCTAATTTTCTTACCTATTAAAGGGTTCCAATAGTCATCTATTTTCCTAAATTCAAAAAATGACAAGTTATCAATCCATCAATCTACAAGTGTTAAAGAGAAAAAAAAAGAGTTAATGAATGAATTCATGAATATGTTCATAAATGTATAAATGAATGATTGAATTCATTAATAAATGTATGTAAAAAAATCAACAATGAATAAAAGGCAGATAAATGAAAGATCAGATGGTTAAAGTATGAATGTATGAAAAAATGATTACCATAAAAGAATAAAAATAGGAAAGAGTGTATTAATGAACGAATGAATGAATGAATGATAAATGAACGGATAAAAGGATGATGTAAGATCTGAGGATCCTTATAAACTAATGTGTGTTCAGGGTGTTCAGCGACAAGACGTTACTCAGTGTGTTCAACCAGGAATTCTCTACAAACAATCGATCAATCACACAGAACTCTACATGGACAAATTNAATTAACCCTGGACTGATTTATTGTGTTTTCAGTTCACGGTTGAGTCCTGTATAAACTGCCTACCTGAAATATATACATAAGATTTAATCAGTGCAAATAGAGGTGAGCCGAAGAGAAAGAGTTCATGCTCGCTCTTATGTTTGTAGTTATTACCTGGTCTCCTATAGGTAAAAATGAGCACAGATGAACAGGTGAATTAAAGGACAAAAGTATGAAAGGATGATAAATGAATGAATGAATGAATGAATGAATGAATGAAAGAAAGTATGAATGAAAGGATAAATGAATGAAAGGATGAATAAATCAATGAATGAATGAATGAATTTACCTAGTACCATGTTTAACAACTGAATAAACTGTTTTCTTTATTTCTTTCCGCAACAATTCTACTAACGAAATCACCTTGAAAATAATATCAACATTATTTCTCTTTAAAGGGACTTTTTAATACTTTTCTTTTTTCTTTTAAAGGGACTGTAAGCGTAATCTCAATTGACCTTCTATGCAAAGACGGAAATTCCAGATTTACTATGGTTCCCTTAAACCCTAAATCTGAACAAAAATACCGTCGTTCTCCTGACTCGGCAAGTGTTAGTCTAATCTCCATTGCAGTAGCAAGAAATGCAGAGGTCACTGTGCCAAAGAACCCGCAAATGAAAATAAAGAGTTTAAAGAAACAAAAATATTGATATCTAACAAATACTTGATCAGACAAAGCTTTGTAAATCAGGCATTGTTTGCAGGCCCTTTAAGTCTCCAAGAAAATTTAAATTTTCGTTTCTTCAATAGTTTGCTTCACAAAATATTTCATAATTTTCCTGTTAAAATGTTAAAGTTACAAATACCTTGGATGTGTTTGAACCTGAGCCAGCGATAACTGAAACATAAAAGAAGAGAGTCATTTTTTCCTTTTAAACCTATTTTCATTAATTTCAATTCTCATCATACATTTTTTTCATTAATTGATTCTTTTCGTAGTCATTCTTATCATCGAAGAGTTATTTTTATATAACTATATAACAATAATAAAATTGGTACATTTATTTTGAAGAGACAGCAGCAGCACATATTGCGGCTCGGTAGCTAACTACTAAAGGCTCGGTAACTAACCTATGGCTCCCTCTCCTAAAAGCAGATTAAGAGCTGGCTCCAATAGCTTGGTTATCTTTGCATGCCCACCAACCTAACACAAAGATTATATTTTAAAGCAACATGCCAATATATTAAATCATTTTAATTCTCCCTGTAATACTTAAATCAGAATAATATATTTCAGACTTTTTTCCCTAACTTCTTATTAAAAATATTTTAACTGGGCCGTCATCGTTATTTTAAATGACCCTTCATTTTAAGAGGGTCATGCCCGATTTACTACGGTACTCTTGAAACTATCTCATCAATAATTTCAAACCCTTTGTTAATGGTAATGGAAGACATGTAGAATGGGTTCACATGGTAGATGTCAAAGTCTACTTCAGTTAACGAGTTTGGGTTCACACCCTTTGCTAATGGTAGATGTCAAAGTCTACTACAGCAACAAGAATGGGTTCACATCCTTTGCGAATGGTGGATGTCAAAGTCTACTTGAGTCAACGAGTATGGGTTCAACCCCTTTGCTAATGGTAAATATCAAAGTCTAGTACAGTAAACAAGAATGGGTTCACATCCTTTGCTAATGGTGGATGTAAAAGTCTACTTGAGTCAACGAGTATGGGTTTAAACCCTTTGCTAATGGTAGATATCAAAGTCTACTACAGTAAACAAGAATGGGTTCACATCCTTTGCTAATGGTGGATGTCAAAGTCTACTCGAGTCAACGAGTATGGGTTCAAACCCTTTGCTAATGGTAGATATCAAAGTCTACTACAGTAAACAAGAATGGGTTCACATCCTTTGCGAATGGTGGATGTCAAAGTCTACTACAGTAAACGAGTATGGGTTCAAACCCTTGGCTAATGGTGGATGTCAAAGTCTACTACATTAAACAAGAATGGGTTCAAACCCTTTGCTAATGGTGGATGTCAAAGTCTACTACAGTAAACAAGAATGGGTTCACACCCTTTGCTAATGGTGGATGTCAAAGTCTACTACAGTCAACAAGAATGGGTTCACACCCTTTGCTAATGGTGGATGTCAAAGTCTACTACAGTCAACAAGAATGGGTTCACACCCTTTGCTAATAGTAGATATCAAAGTCTACTATAGTCAACGAAAATACATTGTACTTTTTCTGAATCAACATGTGTTTATAAGTTTAATGAATGCATTCCTGAAAATGTTTTGATTATTTGAGTGCGGACTAAGTATCTACTTCTAAATGCAAAATGAATGTATATACAGTTGAGATTTCAATGTAAATAGTTTGTTTCAACAAATTCCGATCAGAACAAAATTATTAAATATTGTATTTTCAATGGGCTTATATAAATTTTCTTTTGTGCTTTGTTTTTAGCTGAACCATCATACATTATTATTTTGTATTTTGTGTTTGAAAATAAATACTACAACTACTAATTTGGATTGTAGAAGAGAAGATCACGTCGTTTTTCTTGCTTGAAAAGTGTACAGTTCTGATAATTTCTCCACTTTTCTGAAGCAAAAAATGCGCAAGCCTCTTTTGTGGAGAAACCCCAAATAACAATTCAGTTTTCAAAAACGAAAACATGGATATCTATTATCTAATTCCTACTTGCCCAGTCAAAGTTTTGAGGGGTCTCTTGAAACTACGCTTACAGTCCCTATTCTATTTAAAGGGACTGTAAGCGTAATTTCAAGTGAACCTTCATGCAAAGATGACAATGTCCTATTTAAACGATACCCTTAAAACCTTAATCTGATCAAAAATGTGGAAGATGACATCTTATTTCTGACTCGATATGGGTTTATTTCTGTGAGTTTCTCCATTGCTTCTTCTTAACAAGAAAGAAATGTAACTTTCAAAGAAATCCCGCAAATGAAAATAAACAGTTTAAAACAAAAACATTGATCTCTAATTCATCATTGATCAGGATCAGACACAGCTTTCCAGGGTACCGTTGTAAATCGGGCATTTAGGGTCTTTTTAAATTAAGAAGTCCATTTAATAAAGTGTTTACCAGTAACCAGCCATGTTCTGCAGGAAGTGATAGGATTGGAATATTTCCTGTATTTAAATTCTCCTCCTCGGTCCGAACCTTACATAAAGTACATGTATTTTCAATAGAAGGGTTTTAAGCGTAGCTAAACTAGTTTACTAAAATGACTATTGTAACGGTGATAAAGAATAGGCTCAGGACAATTTTCTTTTTATAAATATGGAATATAAGAAACGTCGACATTATATCCTTGAGAATACCCCTCTCCACCTCTTTACCTTGTCATAGTTTTCCATCTGAAAAAAAGAAAACATCAGATAAAATATCAAATAATTATTTACTTTCAACAATTAACACGAATCACATTTATCTTTTTCCAATGTGCTGGATTTAGGAATCCTCAAACTGGCATTAGAGTAAAATTCGCAAAGTTGCGAAAATGGTTAAATCCACGAAATCACAAAACAAATTTCCCGCACAGGGTTCAAAAAAGAATGAACTATAGAAAAAGTTGTAACAAAATAATACTAAAATTTGTGTGCAGCACAAAACAATCTCCCTCATTAATAATCAAATTTAATTACAGTGCTACATTGTAGCGGTTAATGCCAACACTTAAGGAACAAGGTGCGGAGTAAAAAATACTTGAGTATTTAATAATATAAGACGACATACAACACATCTATTTAAAAAATACTTGAGTATTTAATAATATAAGACGACATACAACACAGCTATTTAAAAAAAACTCTTGGTTTATTTGGATAACATCAAAAATGACTCAAAATTTAACTAGCAGCGATTTTATCCAGAATTGATTTTCCAAAAAGTAAGTCTGCCCCTAGATACTTTAGATATAGGCTGAATCTGTGTTTTAAGCAGTTGCTGGAGCCAGGTTACTCACAACTTGAATCACCTGAACACACAAAATATAGATGATTTTTGGTTTTATTTCGTTTCTTCTTATTGAGTAATAGTTAGTTAATAGTTATTTATTAGTTAGCACATTACGAACCCTTGAAGCACCCCCTTTCCTTTGAAAAGTTTAGTTATTATCGGATTTTTCTGTTCAAATTGGCGCACTTTCAAAGAACTAAACGTAGATATTTTCCCGGGCAAAAGTTTTCGTCTTTTAACGTCCGAAAACCTTCACTGGGGTCATGTGAGTGAGTTGCCACAAAAAATATGTGCCTTATCGGTTTTACAGCCAGACAAACAGACAAGCCATTACCTTGTGAATCATTGTCTTGAGCATCCCCGGGCACTTGGCACTGTAGGCGAACTGCTCCATCACCAGCCGGAGCTCATGGAACATTGTCCTAATAAATTCAAATTAAATATTGAAAATATTGAAATTCGTCCTCTTCTAGTTCTTCTGGACTATACTTGGAGGCCCCTAACTGACCATATTTTAGGAACTCTGTATAGTGTATTTACCTGCAGTAGGGGTTCCTTCTGGAACTATATCTGAGTCCAAGGAAGCGGTAGTATAGGAACGGAGTCACCAAGGTGGTTTGTCCTTAACAATTTATCAATTAATTGATGAATTTACTAATTGCTTACTTATTAAATTATTTGAGTAATAACCATATAACTGAATATAAAAACAAATGAAAGGACGAATGAATGAATGAATAGGTGAATGAAAGAATGAAAGAATGAATGAATGAATGAATGAATAAAAGAATGAAAGGATGAAAGGATGAATGAATAAATAATTATACCTGACATTATGAGGAATATCACTAGTGGCATTAGGAATATTTCAGTAAACGACGCCATTCTACAAATTAAGTTATTTAAAATTTTTTTCCAAAAACTTATTTAACTTCTTTTCGAAAAGTTGTTTATTTTTAACAATGGAATACGTTCACATTTTAACTTTTGCTTTTCAGGCCGACATTTTTTTCTTTGTTCTTAATAAAACAGGGATGTAAACTGTATGGTTTCTTGAAAAATCATCCACCCTCATTTGAAAATAATTTTTTAATGATTGTTTTTGCTGAATTGAAGAAAGTAAAATAACTCTTGGGTTAAGTATCAAAAAACCTGCCTTTTGAAATATAATCAAAACTAATTCCTTGAAAGTACTATTTACCCCCCTGTTGTAAACTAAAATTTATGCAGATTTTTCAGTTTACACCAAGGAGTAAGGAATAGAAGGGAGATACAACTGACGCGACCCGCCCTACCATTTGATTATACACGCTTTGCAGACGCGTACTCCATTTGTATAAGAAATATTCAGAATAGGTTATTGTATACGCGGTAATTGTAAATTAGACAAATATTTCTTATTCAATTGAAGTACCGTCTGCAAAGCATGTATAATCATATTGTAGGGCGGACCGCCTTCTATTTTATTCTCCTTGGTTTACACTCTTGGATTTCAGAAATTAAAAAATAAAAATCAACCAATAACCATGTCAAACTCTTAGTATACAGTGATAACCAGAAAACTGTAGAATAGAAAGACGATATTAAAGCAATACTGAAATGTAAAATGGGTCTGTTTACCCTGCACAATTGCTTTGTCTCCTGTTCATTTGACTATTTAAGGCCAAAACTTGTAATTAAAAGTCGTCTTCCTATTTAAGATTCCTATTGCAAACCTGAGAAGATTCCTAGATTGAAGTTCTACAAAGCTGATCAGCATTCTAGCACCCCACCAGGAGTTCTGACCTAAATTATACTTTATTAAAGGGAATGTTCACCTATTTCAAAATTGTGCCGAAATAACAATAATTTAAAAAAGGATTCTCATAGCTATCTCATTCTAGCCTTCTGGGAAATTTTTATGCGAGAAGAAAAAATTCATTTGAAAACCTAGTGTATCTTCTAGTAGGGGGAGTATGATACAGAATACTAACCTAGTGGATCTAGTAGGGTGAGTAGGATACAGAATACTAACCTAGTGTATCTAGTAGGGGGAGTATGATACAGAATACTTACCTAGTGTATCTAGTAGGGGGAGTAGGATACAGAATACTAACCTAGTGTATCTAGTAGGGGGAGTAGGATACAGAATACTTACCTAGTGTATCTAGTAGGGGGAGTAGGATACAGAATACTAGCCTAGTGTATCTAGTATGGGGAGTAGGATACAGAATACTAACATAGTGTATCTAGTAGAGTGAGTAGGATACAGAATACTAACCTAGTGTATCTAGAAGGGTGAGGGAGTAGGATACAGAATACTAACCTAGTGTATCTAGTAGGGGGAGTAGGATACAGAATACTAATCTAGTGTATCTAGTAGAGTATGGGAGTAGGATACAGATTACTAACCTAGTGTATCTAGTAGGGTAAAGGAGTAGGATACAGAATACTAACCTAGTGTATCTAGTAGGGGGAGGGAGTAGAATGCAGAATACTAACCTAGTGTATCTAGTAGGGGGAGAGAGTAGAATGCAGAATACTAACCTAGTGTATCTAGTCGGGGGAGGGAGTAGAATGCAGAATACTAACCTAGGGTATCTAGTAGGGTAAGTGAGTAGGATGCTGAATGTAGAATAGAAAACAGGAAAACAGGAGATAGGACCATTGTGATTGGTGCAGCGTATAGAAATATTATACTGTAGAACAGGTAGTGAGCTAAATAAATAAAATAACATTAGTATTTACATAGCGTCCATATCATATTGGATTATCTCCAAGCTTTAATGCCAAAATATGCACATAATACTCGAAAAACCTAGTGTTTTCTGCATGCAAACTTTTGTGTTACGCTTATACAATTTTTTAAAATGTATCTTTTTTAACTTTCTGATTAGTCCCGAAAATCGCAATTTAGAGCCATAAACACTCCGAAATGATGTGGGACACCCTGTATTTTAAAGGGACTCGAAATGATGTGGAACACCCTGTTTCATAAAGGGACTCGTAATGATGTGGGACACCCTGTATTCTTAATTTTTAGAGAGAACTATATACGACTTAGACCCATTACTACTGAATGAACTTAGTTCAATGAGAACATTATCAATTCCCTTTTCAGAAGAGGTAAATAATTCAGGGGTGTATATAATTCCAATTTTTTATTCCTTGCCTCCCACCCCTCTGACTTTTTTTGATTTCCTTCCCCAAATTCGTTAACTAAAAATACACCATTTTTTAAGATTTATACTGCAGTGCATAATAAATCGGAAATCCCATAAGGATGCATTTTGCAGAGATGCCGCCGCAGGGAAATTTGTTTAACTTTTAGTACATGGGGGTACTGGCAAAGAAGTTTTGATTGATTATTTGTCAGTCCAGGAGTATTTTTTTATATCATTCCCCATCATTATANTGACTATTGGGGAAAATTGATTGAGTAAGGGGTATTCTTTTATCATATTTTTTATGAAATTGTGCGCGAAGCGTGAATAAGTTGAATAACGTTTTTTATATAATGTATTAAAACTGTCGGGGAAAACTATTGGTGAAAAACTGCCTGGTTTCAGAGAAAGTTAGATATGAAGAGGTAAAGAGCCTTGCTCCAACCTTTCACTTCCCTAAATTCCCCTTTCCTTCTTTATCTGCCAACCTTCCAACAATTTTTTCCCTTCCCCTTCCCTTCCCTACATTCCCCATACATTCTCCTACTTCCCTACCTTCCCTAACTTCCTTTTCCCTTCCCTAACTTCCTTTTCCCTTCCCTACCTTCCCTGTTCCTCTTGTAGTTCCCTAATCCATATTTTTGTCTTTCCCACTCAACCTTCCTCTTTTCCTCGCTATCTTCACCTTTCCCTTCCGACCTTCCCTTTCCCAACCCACCCATTTTCTACTTTTCTCCTTCCCTACTTTTCCCCTTCCCTACCTTTACCCTTCCCTACCTATCTCCTTCCCTTCCCCTCCTCTTGGGTCTTTGATTTCTTCCCCCCCCCCCCAGGGGGGGAAATGAATTTTATACACCCCTGACAATTTTAAAAGAAAATATATACCCCTGGCATCTATAACGTTTATATAATATATTTGACTTTTAAAATTTTTATTTTTCAAAATTCATGAAAATAAAATATTTAAAAGAGCAACAGTAAAAAAGTTAAAGTCGAAGATGGGCGCGAAGGGCTCTGGAAGCCTATCAATCTGAACATTAATTACCAGAGTCCTCAAGCAGGAATTGGAACAGGAACTCACGGTTAAATTGAACCTAGAACACAAAAGATAATAATGTATATAATAAAGCTCTTCGCTAAAGCTGGCCAAACGGCTAGACCAAATTGGAGGATACTGCCACTTGAGCTTTGAATCATGATTTAATACAAAGCGCGGGTAATACTTTCGCACAAGAATCATAATCAAAAGAAACGAAACGAAAAGATTAAAACAAAGCTAGTCTTGGTAGTTTAAGAGAAAGTCTATACAGGATCAAAATCAAATGGGGCGGGGCGAAAGAATCAAACATTATGACGGGGTCATTTTATTTTTAAAAGAAAGGGGAGGGATAGAGGCTATTTTGCCCCCCCCCCCTTCAAGCTTTTCTTTTTAGCAAGCACCTGTGGTAGTCGCTGATGTAGTCTCAGAGCTGAAGTAGCGGCATTGGCCATTAAAGCCTGCAAATAATACCCAATTTTTATAAATATTTTTTTTTTATAATGGTCAGATTCTTAAGAATAATAAACATGTGGGCACTGGTCAGTGGTCAGCCTGGAAGATATAGAATCAAAATTATTGATTGTTTTATCATTTACCGGTTTTCATAGGGCCCGGGCTAGTAATAATTGTGGCAAACTAGATTTTATAGATTGGTTGAGTAATTGATTGATTGATTGATTGACTGATTGATTGATTGATTGGTTGGTTGATTGATTACCTTGTAGTATGACTGGTAAGGATTACCAAAGACTGGAATAATATATCCCAGAGAGAACAATATGGTGGCTACACGAGTCGCCCACAGACCGACATCTAAATAGAAAAAAAATAAAAATAAAACTTTCATTCAGATTAAAAAAAAAACTTTTGTTAACTTTAAAACAAAACAAGTTTTAATTCTCAAAAAATATCAAAAAACTCTTTTCATACAAAATTTTTTTTTAAATTAAATATTACCACGTATATTTTACCTATTTTATGTGCTAGAACATGGTTCTTAAATGCGGCGAGACCTCGTGGCGGCGCTGTCGGGGGACTTTGGTCTGTTTCCGCCATTTTATTTTATTTCTTTATGAAAATATAATTTTATAATTTTTTCAATATTGAGAGTGGAATGAATACTTGAATATTAGCGTAGAATTATAGAAAAGGAAAGGAGTTCACTAAGACATATAAACAATTTAAATTAAACGAATAAAAAAACACGCATTTTCTTGCATAATGTTTTTCAATCAAAATGTATTCAAAACTGACAAATGAGTATTTATACGTGAATGCTAGTAATTGGTCCCATATATAGTTTTGTTATCATAATTTTCAACACTTTTACACATCTTGTTTTACTGCTGATAACAAAGAAGAAAATCTATAAAAAAAAAATCAAAATAATATTTATAATCAGGAGCAAGTTTTTCAGTGATTAAACTTAAATAATATAAATACAATGATTTTACCTTATTCCCCGATCCCATATTGGTTGCTAAACTATTTTCTATGACAAATATAAAAAGATTTTGAAATAAATTCGTGGAGGAATTTTCTAGAACATTTTAGCTCTCCATGAATGGTTTTATCACATCGAATATTTTACAGGGCAGGACAGATGCCTAATCTTGGAAGAAATCATATCTTTAAAGATAAATACTGTTCAAAGTTCACTTTAGGCATCGTTCATTGTACAAAGCTAATTACACTACTTTAACTGTGTTCAGTGTACAATTCTAAGGGAACAAAATTGTTACAACGTATTGACTAGAATCTTGACAAATTCTATTCTCTGACAAGTGCAATGTATGTACTGTACTGCTGAAGAAATTCCGCAGAATGACCAGTACATGCCAGTACTGTACAACGGCTACAAACCGGATTGATAAATTTGAAGAGCGGCAGTGACCGGCCAATCGCCTGAAAGAGATAAAAAAAACTAATTAAAAAATGAATAATAAAAACTAATTACATTGACCTTTTATTTCCTCTAAAAACGTTGATGAAAGATGTTAATTTTTATCTACAACTGATTATTCTCAGGGAAACATCGTTTTTATTACAGTAAAAATGATGGCGGGGAAGGAGATTAAGTTACTTAAGAAATAAAGGGACTGTCTTAAAACATTTTTTTTAAAGTGAATATTTGCAAATTATCTTTTTTCCATCTCATAACCTGAGTTTGTTTCCCTTATGTCCATTTGAAAGCCAAAATTTTTATTTTGAATAATCTTTTTTGTTTCTTTATTTTCTTGTGATTTTTAACAAAACAATTTTTTTCCCCATTTTGATGGTTATTATATCGTTAGAACTGATGAGGGTCAACCCAGACCGTTTCAATAAATGTGAAACTAACATTTACTTTTTATACTCTACAGAAGTTTGGTCCAAGCCATCACCGAATTTTAAAAGGGACTGTGTGTGCGTAATTTCAAGCCACCTTCAGTTCAGAGAAAAAAGGACTTCTCCGATTAACAAAGGTACCCTTGAATCATTAAACTCATCAAAAATGTGTCGCTTTTCTGAATAGAAGTGTTTATTTCTGATAATTTCTTTAGTCTTTTTTATAAGAAACCAAAATTGAAAATAAGCCCTTTTCAAAACACAAAGGCATGAGAGTTCTAATGTATAGTTGATCAGTGGCCGAATTTAAAGAATTTGAGCGGCGGTTTAAATTTAAGCCGCGGCATGAATATGGTTGGTTCCGCTTAAAATTGTATCAAATGTTTCAAGATTTAAGCCGGCGCTTAGTTTAAACCAGGTTTTGGAAGATTTAAACCGCGGCTCAAATTCTTTAAATTCCATCTCAGGCAAATTTTTTAAGGGTACCGTTAAAAATCTTGCATTGCCATCTGCACATGTAGGGTCACTTGAAAATACATTTACAGTCCCTTTAATATCCCTTTAATGGAGGGGATTAAATTAATATTAGCTTAATGTTGATCTATACCTGACATCCCTTGAACTCTGTGTGTAGTGTGGAGGACAGAGCTCTTATGCAGACCAAGCACCTTAAATACATAATCAATCAATATGGTAAGCAATATGGCAATCAATCAATCAATCAATCAATCAATCAATATGGTAAGCAATATGGCAATCAATCAATCAATCAATCAGCCAAACAACCAATATAAAACAAAACAGACTACGACCTTTTATTCAATTGATCAATCAGTCGATAATTTTTTCCATCTTTTAATTAACAAATTTTAATTTTTCCGATCTATCAAAAAGAAATTCAAACAAATATCTTTGTCGAAAGATTTACCTTGTCAAGAATGACGCCTGTTACCATCATATCGACGCATGCGTAGGGTTGTTCAGTATTTGGCACCTAGATATAAAATAATATATTTCAGTTTTCAATTATTGAATTTTTTATTATATCTATCCCATAAACCAAGAAAAATTTTAAATTTGAAATTCCAGATTCGCTGAATCTGCAGACATCTTATTACTTTGCAACATCATTTATAAGCATTTCATGCCAATAAACCAAGAGAAACCTGCAGAACATTGTATTTAATGAGTTTTGGTTCGTTGTTTAAAGGGACTGTAAGCGTAATTCCAAGTGACCCTCCCTGCAAAAAGGGTAATTCCCGATTCACAACTTTCTTTAAAAAAGGTTTGTCTGATCAAGGATGAATTAGATATCAATGTTTAAATATTTAAAAATGATTATTTACAATCGTGGTTTCTCTGATTTCTACTGCAGGAAGGGAAATAGGAATTATCAGAACTAAACACATTTAAATATGTGAAAACAACAATATCTTCCACATGCTTTATGAAGGTTTCAAGGGTACCGTTGTGAATTGGGCATTGTCATCTTTGCATGGAGGAACTCTTGTAATTACGCTTACAGTCCCTTTAAGCCTCATCTTGGCGGGTAGTTAGTATTTCTTAATGTAGCACCTGTTTACTCCCAAGATAGGGTTTTACTCCCAAGATAGGGTTTTACTCCCATGATAGGGTTTTACTCCCATGATAGGGTTTTACTCCCATGATAGGGTTTTACTCCCATGATAGGGTTTTACTTCCATGATAGGGGTTTATATTTAGACGACTGATTAATTTTCAAAGCTTTGGGTAAGAGGGGGGGGGGGGGGGCAATCTTTCAGAAGAATTCCTAAAAAACCTAACTAAATTACTGAACCAACAAATTATTTTTGAAGAGGAACAGAGACGTTAATAAATATTTATGCAAATAGTATCTGTTGAAATGTTGATTACCTTGCAGGCGTGTTTGAGGGAGTCCATGAATGCCTTCATCTTAACATCACCTCCCTTGAACGGATCCGTGAGTCCGCGCTCAGAGCATTTGACAAATATATTCCCTCGCATATAAACCTTCCGTCTTCTCAACTCCTAGACACAGGGACTGGTCAAGTAATTTCAAGTGAACTTACATTTCTGGATATAGCATGTCCGATTTACATGAAAGGGACTGTGCATACTTTTCCAGTTGTCATAAATTCAAGGCGTTTCAAGCCCGATACACAATGATACTTTTGCCTCAATAAAGATGAGAATGAGGTCATACTTTTTCTTTCTTGTCTTTTCTGCAAAAACGCCACAAGGTATTATAGAAGAAGAGACGCATATAAAAAATAGCAATCCAGGATACATCCATTAGCATTCAGCACAGACAAATATTTGAAGAGTACTACTGTGAACAGGGCCTGCAACTTTCAATATGTCGACAGTAGATTTAACACAATTTTCAAAATGTTATATATATATTATCTAACCTTTATAACGAAATCAAAGTTGCCTGCCAGTATTTTGTTGACAAAATTCACCACCAAAGAATGGCAATCGTCAAAGTTTGCCACGGGTCTAGGAATAAAAACAATTGAATTCAAGAATTCAATTGATTAAAACTATTATTAACCAGCTGAATTGTCCGGTGTTGCCCATGAAATTTAAGAAACACTTGAAAAAAATTCAAATTTTAAAGAAAAAAACGATTTTTAAAAATAAATTAAAAATTATAATTTGTTTAACCTATGTTACCCTTCGGAAAATTATGGGTTTCCTCAAAAAATGCCAGCCCATTCGGTTCAGCCGTTTGGCTAGCTATAGCTAATATATTTATATATACATAAGCAAAGAGCTGTATTGTAAAGAAATTAGCTCTATCAACGAACTGATTTAAGGATGGAAATATTGATAAATGAATTGATTTAAAAGATAACTTGATTAAACAGAGTCCGAATTTAATGCATTTGAGTCACGTCTCAAATACGCCGAAACCCGGTTTCAATTGAGCGCCGGCTTAAGATTTGAAACATTAAATACAATTTTAAGTTGAACCATAACCAGCCGCGGTTCAAATTCTTTAAATTCGGCCTCTGACGAAATAACTAACAATTGATTTACTAGCTGAAGCGCCCGGACGTTGCATTTATTTTTGTTGTTACAACTCTTTCTGTGTTACAGTTTGGCTGGCCTTAGGTAACAAACATACATACAAAATTTGACACTTGGATTGATGGCTAATGATTAAAATACCTGGTAACCCTTTTCCCCGCAAACGGACCGTTCCTCTCCTTAATTTCTTCGACAGACCTGAACAATCAACATCAAGTTTTGAACCTTGAATGATGGAGAAAAAAATCGGGGACTTCAATATAATTTCAAAGATTTTTGATTATCAAATATTTAAGTGGGAACTTTTTTTTTAATTTTTCTTATTTTCCGAAAATTGAATAACACGCAAAAAAAATCTTTTTTTATAGCGACGATTTTTTTTAATCTTCTTTGTTTGGTGTATCTTTGAAAACGCTACCCTATAAAAACGCTACACTACAAAAACGCTACACTACAAAAACGCTTACAAGGCAAAATTCGCTACTTTTTCAAAAGAAAATCATTGTTTATGATTATAGGTAACGCATAAATTATTAAATGTTTTAAATGCAAATAGAATATTGTAATTCGGTAATATATTTAATTTACCCAAATTAAATGCATAAAATAAAAGACATTTGAACTCATTATATATGTTTATTTTTTTCTCTTACATTGCACATATTTTTATGAATTTGAAGCTGCAAACATTGTTTCAATGTGGGCTCAGTCGCCCCCCCCCCCCTTCCCAAGGGCAGCATGTTTAAAGGGACTGTAAAAGAAAAATGACAGGGGGTCTAGAATGAAACCTGAAATAAAACACATCTGAACTCATTATATATGCTTATTCTTTTCTCTTGTAATACATTAAATATATTTCCAAAAATTTGAAGCTGCAAAAATTGTTTCAATATGGGCTCAGTCACCCCGCCCCCCCCCCCCCAAGGGCGAATTGCAGCATGTTTAAAGGGACTGTAAAGGAAAAATGACAGGGGGTATAGAATAAAACCTGAGAATCTCAGGCGTTGAACGATACATATAAGACATCTATCTGATGTTCCTGTCTCGAGAAATTAATATAAAACTGTCAAATTTATTTATACGAAAATTCATAAACATGCAATTTTGTATAAAAGTTGTAGGTTTAAACAGATCATATTCCATAAATCTATAAAATAAATCTATAAAAAATAAATCTATAAAACGAATTTATCCCACAGGAGCCTCAGAATCTCAGGTTTGCTCCTATTATAATTTTCCAATTTTTATTTTGCATTTTTTATAGATAAAGTTGATAATATTATTACATATTATAGTCCGTATAGTCCGTATTACGTCACCAGAACTTCTTTTGTATCACGTGACCAGTATACTGCACTGCCATTGGCTGAATTTTTGTATAATTTTGACACTGTTTTATGTCAATTTCTTGAGACAGGAACAACAGAAAGATGTCTTTTATGTATCATTCAACGCCTGATATTCTCAGGTTTCATCCTATACCCCCTTTAATTTTTCCTTTACAGTCCCTTTAAACTAAAATTTACAACATTTACGCAGAAGCTTAATGTTTTGCTGTTAACTTAGTACTTTTTTGTTTTTGTTTATTTACCTTTTCAATCCCTTCACATGGTAGCTGTGTCCTTTGTATTCCCACCATCTAAATTTAGATTTTGTTATTTTCTATCCTGGCAACTGCTTTTTTACACGCTTAAAGGGACTGTAACCATGAAGTCAAGAGACCCTCAAGTTAAAATAAAGAGTGCCAATGTTCGATTCACAACGGTATCCTTAAAAGCTTTGTCTGATCAAGTGTTAAGTAGATACCCATGTTTTGTTTTTGAAAACTGTTGAATTTCTATTTGCGGTTTCTCCACAAAAAAGTGACTTGCATATTTCAGCTTACTTCATTATCAATGGAGAAATTATTAGAACTAAAAAATGACGATATCTTCTACAATTTATGATCAGATTAAGGTTTCAACTTTCAAGAATGCTGTTATGAAAGCACTTTCACCATCAAATTTCTCTTCAATTCTGTATTCATCTTAACAGATACTCGTTTTTTATCTTCTTAAATTCTCAAATCTAGAAACTTAACTCAAATATTATGAAAAATGCTAATATTATTATTAATGCTTTAAAAACCGCAATTCAAAATTCAAAATGGATGATCTAATTATAGTAATTTTATCAAATAAATTCATATCTTAAATACAGTTTAAAAAAAGGTAATTTCTTATGTGCTAAGTTTACGAAGCCTCCTCTCCCACTTGTCTGAAAAATGCGCGACCTTGGAAATCGCGCAAAATAAAATGTTAACTTAATAGTCCCTAAGCCTAATATATTAAACTATCATTTTTCTTATTTACAGGAAGCAGCAACTTCCCAAGGGTGACAACTTCCCAAGTACATCCTAACAGCAGCGCTTGGCCTCTAGCCTGTTCTAGCCACAGCACTCGTTCCCGAATGCAGCCTGTGGCGCAGCAGAGGGCCTAACCTAACCTTTGGGAAGTTGCCGCTTGGGAAATTGCCCATTTGGGAAGTTGCCACTTGGAAAATTGTCCCTTAGCAAGTCGCCCTTTGGAAAACGCCGTTGGGAAAATACCTAACACCGAACAGCACTGTATTATCATTCTAAAATACAACCCATCATTCAGTGGTGTGTACAACATGTACTTGAGGTTTAAATTGAGTTTTGTATTTTTTACAGTCTTTACCTAGTATTTACAAATATGTACGGTACGGTACTGTACCGTACTGTACTGAATTATAATGTACATACCGTGACAAGATCCCAGATTTCCCCGAAAACTTCAACCTTCTTATGCATTAGCACTGTACTGTTCTTCACCCTGAAATATCAAATATCAAATCCATCAATTAAAGGGACTGTAAGCGTAATTTCAAGTGACACTTGATTCAAAGATTGCAATGTCCGATTTACAACGGTACCTTACCAGCTTTGTATAATCAAGAATGAATTAATGATTTTGTTTCTTTAAACTGTTTATTTTCATTTCCGGTTTCTCTGCAAAAGTGACTTGCGCATTTCTTGTTTATAAGAAGCAATGGAGAAACCTCAGAATATATATACTATAGAATAACAGATGGCACCTATATTGGTATGACATTGTGAACATGTATTGGTATGATATTGTGTACATGTAGTACACTGTTCTTGGGGGGATTTGTTTTGTTCAGTTTTATGATTTCTCAGTATAAACAAGCATGAGATATTGTTCAGTGTTAAATTGTAACTCGGATAAGACAAATAAGATAAGATTTCATTCTTTTCCTAAAGATGAAAAGTTAAAAAAACGTGGAGTCACTTCTGAGAAAGGCCAGGTTTGTGGACTCCGGGAAAATTTAGTGTTGTCTGTGCAAAACATTTTGAAAACAAATACGTTTCCGGACGAAAGTTAAGTTATAACGCTGTTCCCAGTCTCCATCNNNNTGGGGGGAGGTCAATTAGCCCCCCCCCCCTCTGTATTTTTTTTACAGAACTAAAAAAGTATTGATCTGAGACTTTTCCTAAATACTCAATTCTATTTGAAACAGTTTTGAAAATACATGTTTGATTAATTGAAGTAAAGATAACAAGATAACAAGAGAAAGTTTGGAAAGTGAATCTTCAAAACCCCCCCCAAGATTACTGAACATCTGGACATTTATGTATTGTACTGCATAACCTCCACAGTCCAACACTTCCCAAACCAAATGCTGCCACATATATATTCTGAGGGAGAAACTCACAGAAACAAATACGTTTCAAGTCAGAAAAACGTCGGTATTTTGATCTGATTTAGGCTTTAATGGTATCATTGTAAATCGGGCATTGCCATCTTTGCATGGAGGGTCACTTGAAATTACACTTACAGTCCCTGAAAACAATCACATGTTCAGTTAAAACATTAAAGATCATGAATAGCTCAATCAAAAGATTGAATAGTTTAATAAATCAATTCAAGAATCAACAAGATTATTCAAACAAAATCTATTTATCAAAATAAAGAATCAATCAATCAATTTTCCTTCCACCTGGCCATAGAGCTGACCGCGAAGGTCATTATCAGATCGTCTTCGTTAGTCTCTGCCAGTACTGGAGTCTCCCCGGGTTTCATGAAGGGAAGACGACCGTTCAGTAAACTTAGCGCAAACCATTGCATAACCGTCTAAACAATAGATAAAAACAATAATCGATTTCTATTTTAAAGTTATTTTGAATAAAAATAAGCATGTTTGTTTTAAGGAAATTGCATTAGGAAATGGAATCTGAGAGAGACCCCAATGTGTACCCCCCCCAGACCGTCGCCAGGTGTGGGAAGCACCATGGTCCCCACCGGACCTTTACACTAGGACACCTTTCAATCCAATAAATGCGCAAGCAAAATAATAGATAAATCTTTTTTTTTCTGAATAAAATTGAGTTTTCTCATTTTCGGGTTCTTTTTAAATTCACTTGTGGATTTATGAGAAAAGAAACGAGATAAAATGGACTGATTTTTTCATCAGAAAAACGACGGTATTCTATCGGGCATGTAACTTTTAGAGTGCCAAAAAGATTAAAACATTCGGGTAACCGAGGGGAGGATGCCAACAACAACAATTTCTCGTCCGAGCCACATTCTTCTCATTTTCTCGTACAAGCCACCTAGAAATCCACGTCCTGCCGATATTATTTCTTTTAAGTGTCTAATCCTCCAAGATAAAAAAATTCGTTCGAGCAAAATAAAATTTTGAATTTTTTAATATGAAAAAAAAATATTTCAGTTGAAGTTTTCAAGTTTAATGTCCTTAAAAATGTTCACCTTTTTTTGCGCATTTTCAGATAGTCCTGGCGTAAAATGTCACAAATAATTCCGAGTTAATAGAACTTCAATCTTTTTTGTTAATTATAGTGAAAACCATCGAATTTTTCCGGGTGGTTCCATGGGGAACATGATAGGCAGAGGTATGCAAAATATTTTGCTAATTATTTTATATCACGAAGGTTAGCTATTACGGAGGCAGAAGTTTGACATCTTCTCATGAGTTTGAAGAATCCAACATGATGTAATCATAGCAATTCTTCAGTCTATCCATATTCTATGCCCTAACGTGGGCAGAATTTAACAAAATAGTTGTCTCTTCGAGAATTGGAAACTTTAAAACACATAATAATCGAAGGACAAGGATTCCGAGGGGACTCGAGCGAGAAAATGAGAAGAATGTGGCTCGGACGAGAAATTGATGTGGCTGGCCTGCCTCCCCTCGGTAACATTTAGACTTATTTTCACATCTTTGTTTTTCGTTCTCTGTTAAATTTAGTTTGCAAAAGTTATCTAATTCTTTTATTTAACCGACAACGTTATTGATGGATAACTTGAAAAAAAAATATTTTTCAAGTTGATAAAGTAATTTAGTAATTAGGCAAGCCGTCCGCTTTTGTTTATTTTTTAAGAGCTTAAAACACTTGATGTTTTTAAAAAGAATATAATATAATTTTAGATTGAAAATCTATTTATTTTTAATCTCCCAAATATTCATTAAATTGAAATTTCTAAGTCTGCGTTTAGACAAAAAAAAACTTATGTTGAAATGGAGGGGGGGGGGGACTTTTTTAGAACCCCCCCCCCCTGAAATAACTAGTTGACTAACCTGCTGTTCTGTTGATATAATTCCTATAGATCCTTCTCTTGTATAATCAAAATCTGAATTACTAAAAACAGAAAATATTTTATCCCATTTTTATACTCTTAAAAACTTTAATTCCAATCTCAGGCTAAAAGTAATCAAATAACTAAGAAAACATCTTTTCATTGTTGAATTACAAAAGAAAAAAAATAAATATGTAAATTGCGAAAATTATGAATAAACCAAATTTTGTTGGGTTAAAAAAATTGAAAATTGAAGCTACTTTTAAACTTCTTAGCCCTCTTGTTATTTAGTATTTGCTACAAAAATACAATATTACAATTGTACATTTTAAGTTTGTTTAGACATAAAATGATTTGTAGCAGAACCAATCAAGCCATAAATGGCTGTCTTTAATCATTGGCCCCAGACTTCTGTGGGGTCGAAATAAGAGTATCATTATAAAATCATTAATTGTTTTCAACATCCCTAGAATTTGAAAATACTCCCTTTAAAGAGACTGTAAGCGTATTTTACAGTGACCCTTCATGCAAAGATGGCAATGCTCGATTCACAACGGTACCCTTAAAAGCTTTGTCTGATCAAGTATGAATTAGATATTAATATTTATCATTTAAAAAACTTTATTTTTTAAAATAAAAGTGACTTGCGCAATTTGACTCCAGGACAACATGTAAGAATTATAAGATTTGAACACTTTTCAAACAAGAAACACGCCTTTAATCTATATCTTTCGCATAGTTCAACAGATAATACCTTCAAAATCGGGCATTGACATCTTTGCATGGAGGGTCGCTTAAAACTAAGCTTACAGTCCCTTTAACAGTATTAAAATATTAGTTTGTTCCTAAAGCATGAGTCGAGGGTGGAAACTACAGTTTTCTGTTCCTCTCGAGACACCAACCGCAGATCAGGCAAACCTAGAAATAGAAAACAAATTTATTTAATTTGGAGTCTTTTTAGAGGGGTGTAAATTTTTCAGTATAGAAATGATTTTTAATTATGGGTAGGGGGGGGGGTGTAATGAAAACTGAGACATCAAACTAAAAGTTTTTTCCCTTCTTTTTGATCTTTATACCCAAATTTTCTTTTTTTTGCCAGTTTAGCAAAAAAAACATACATAACATCTGGGGAAAAATTATTTTCGAAAAGGGGAGGGGGAAAATTGATTATTCGAGAAAATATACATCCCTGGACTTTTTTACTCACAGTTTAGACATTATATTATTTTCTCCAACTGTTCGAAAAGAAGTTATCAATGGTGGGAATAAGCTTACTTTTTATTTTCATTGGTGGATTTCAATTCTTTCAAATTAATTTCTTTTTACTAAATTATTTAATTTCGACAAATCATTAACATTGACTGGAGTCTAAATTGTATCCGATCAGCTCAGCCGTCTTGAAGTTTGTTGGATACAGGATAACAAACAAACAAGCTAAATTAAAAAATTGGACTCTAAAAGGCAAGTTTTGTTCATTTTTTTAAGCTTTATAACCAAATATTTATTCATTTTCTCACAAAATCATTTTTTTTCCATAATTGACATACATTACTTCTGGGGAAAAACTGAATTTTAAAAGAAGGTGGTGGGTAAATGATTTTTTGGGAAAATATGCACACCTGAGACATATCCAATTGATAATAAATTTTTCATCTTCCCATATAAATCCCTTCAAATAGCTATATGATTACCTACTAAAATAGGAATATTATTCCTATTTGCTGTAAAGGGAACAAGAGTATTACAGATTGTTAAGATTTCATCACATTTACTCTCTATACTTTCCTATATAGATAAATAGATATAGATGGTTAGATAGATATTAGATAGATGGTTAGATAGAAAGATAAGATAAGAAAGATAGATGGATAGACGGTTGTAACATGTACTGTTAGTTGGACGCTTTTCTATTGTAAAAAGATAGATATAGACATATACATAGAAATATACTGTGTGATAGCCCGGATGGATTCCAGGCCACAGACTGCATGTTGATGCTCTGCACCCTGAGGGCGGTCTGGGGGTTCCATGTCGGGTTCCCTTTCAGATCTTATAATTATTCTTATTCTTATACAGATACATACTAGTAAATAGATAGCTAACAATAAGATATGTTCACTGTTTAGCCTTTTATTAGAAAAAACCTGTGAAATATTTTCTAACAGACTTGAACTGCTGGAACCAGAAGACTCCTGACTAAGAAAAAATGCTCCATCCTAGAATGAAAGAAAAAATGATTTTTTAATTCTAAATAATTATAAAATATTTCACTCTCCCGGAAGGAGGACCACTCTAATTGGAATGGGAATTATTGTAAAGCCATTCTAAAGTTAACGGAAGTAATTAGAAGATGTTGAAAAAAATAAAATAGTTTAAACTGTCGAAAAGATTGACATACTTTAAATGACGACCAAAAATGTAAAAAAAAAACTGAAAGCTTCATATAACAACCTTCTAAAAAGTTGGTATTAAAAAAATCATGTTTTGGGACTGAACATCAGAACAATAACCAATTCAAGAGACTAACTAAAGACATCATTTTCTTTTGGAATGGCACTCTTCATTTCTACCAAGATATAATAAGTTTAAAAAAAATTCTAAAAATATGTTTATTTATAATGTCCGACCTTAAGACGTTTCTGGAATGTGTAGAGAAGTACATCACTGCTCCATTGGTTTGAACTTACAATCAGAACATGTGACTAAATACGATAATAAATTCATTGGGCGCTAACAAAAAAAACAATATTGTCGTTTTCGTCCCTTCTTTTCATGCAAAACATCGCATAGGATTTCAAATTTCTAGCAATATTAAAAAACAAATCTTTAGTCACTTTTCAAAAAAAGAAAGAATCAAAACGACAGTTATTTCAAAGTTTTACGGTACAACTGTAGAGATAAGTTATGGATTAATTTAATATTTTGTAAATAACCTAGCTTAGGAACCCAGCACTGCCTAGGTAACTCATAGTTACTCCCGCCGTTTACCCGCGCTTGGTCTTAAATTACAATTTTAGCTAAGAACATTCTCATATTTATCCGGAGTTCACTAATGAAAATCGGCCAAGGTGTCAAGATTTATGATCGAACATACAGACAAACAACAAACAGAGATTACAAAATGGGTTGATAGAAGATAAATTAGAAATAATAAATGAATGAAAGAATAATTGGAATACCTGTTCATGAAGTCCGAAAAGTAAGGATAGTTTATCTATATATCCCAAACTAGAAACTGGATCCTGTAGTGGCACTAACCCTGGATAGATTATTAAATACTGATTGATGGAAATAATGTGAATAAATACTGTATTGATAGATAGAGGGTTAAGTAGATTGTAATTTCCTGCGATTTCTGAACTCTCCAAGACATGTGGCCGCAGCGCTCGGCCCCCTAGCCTGTCCTAGCCGCAGCGCTCGGCTCAGAAAGTGTCTTAACCTAACCTAACCCGTGGCCGCAGCGCTCGGCCCAGAAAGTGTCTTAACCCAACCCTAAATAAATAAAAATTTTAATTGAAAATTGTTGAAAAAATGGTCATGTACAAAATTGAGATGATAAAAATAATACCTCTAAAAGATACAACAGCTAGTAGCAGGGCTACAACGGCCAAAACCAGTACCAGGCATCGTTCAAGATATAACAGCAACATCGTTAATTCGTTGTAATTCAAACAATTAATAGAAAAATACCCGTTACGGTTTTAGATAATATCTTCATTCTTCTTAAACATTTAATAAAATGTAAATTAAATATATATTTAAAACTGAATACTTTCAATGGATTTTATATCGCAAAATATAACTTTAATTAATTTCCGATTTTATCATTTTATTGTACAGTTGGCAGCTGATGTGTACTGTGTGTATTCAATGACACTGAAGAGAAAATGTCGTCTTCTCTCAAAATTTCATCCTGCCGTTAGCTAGATATTATATTATTAGGGAATTATAAAAGTGAAAAAGAAAAAAGAGGATAAAGAGAGGGAGGAAATCTATTTATTTTACTAAAAGTCTGTGTTAGATCCACTAGATTCACTAGATCCACTAGATCCACTATAGATCCACTAGATCCACTATAGATCCACTAGATTCACTAGATCCACTAGATCCACTATAGATCCACTAGATCCACTAGATCCACTAGATCCACTAGATCCACTAGATCCACTAGGTCCACTAGATCCACTAGATCCACTAGATCCACTAGATCCACTAGATCCACTAGATCCACTAGATCCACTAGATCCATTTATAGATCCACTAGATCCACTAGACTTTAAAAAATATGGGGTCTCCAAAAAAAGAGGATGAAAACATTTAAGGGAAACGAAAATGAAAAAAGAATATAGTTAAAAAAAATAAAAAAGGGAAAGAGAGAAGAAATCTATTTATTCACCATGCTTAATTCAAAAATGTTTGGTTAGAAATCATTTTCCAAAATTTTGAGAAATGCTATTTATCAACTATCTTGCAGCTAAAGGTAACATTGAGGCAATTTGAAATAAAAGATAGAATTTAGTTGAACCTATACTTTATATATACAGGTTTATAAAATTTGAATTTTGAAAAACCTAAATAATTTTCAAGGTTTATAATATAAGTTTTTTACAGGAATTTTCACCCTTTCTGATATTATTTTCCTACCTTCTATTTGAAATAAAATTTAAGTATTTAATAATTTATTTTTAGTCTTAACTCTTTAGTCTTTAGTTTTTGGTCTTTAATCTTTAGTCTTTTGTCTTTAGTCATTAGTCTTTAGTCTTTAGTCTTTAGTCTTTGGTGTTTAGTCTTTTGTCTTTAGTCTTTAGTCTTTAGTCTTTAGTCTTTAGTCTTTAGTCTTTAGTCTTTAGTCTTTAGTCTTTAGTCTTTAGTCTTTAGTCTTTAGTCTTTAGTCTTTAGTCTTTAGTCTTTAGTCTTTAGTCTTTAGTCTTTAGTCTTTAGTCTTTAGTCTTTAGTCTTTAGTCTTTAGTCTTTAGTCTTTAGTCTTTAGTCTTTAGTCTTTAGTCTTTAGTCTTTAGTCTTTAGTCTTTAGTCTTTAGTCTTTAGTCTTTAGTCTTTAGTCTTTAGTCTTTAGTCTTTTGTTTTTGGTCTTTAGTCTTTAGCGTGCTAAAGGAAGTAATATTTTATTATAGCTTAAAACAATCTGAAATTTGCCGGCAAATTTCTTCTTACTTTTCATCAAATTTTAAAATTCGTGAACATTTTCTTTATTTCATATTCACAGCTGTATAAAGTGTTAAGTATATGTTTCTAAGGCCCACAGGTATTATATACAGGGTTACCCACAAAGGATGAGACTGGAAAGACGACTGAAAACTGTTTAAAATGGGACAAAGGTAAAATCAAGTATTCGGCCTTAGATATAAGAATTTAATGGCTTATATAATGATTTGGAAAAGAAAGGAACAAGTTTACATGGGAATTGTAAATATTAGGAAACAGACCGTTTAAATTCCGTACAATCGTCTCTGAAGTCTCATCCTTAGTGGACAATCCTGTATCTAAAACTTAGTGGATAATCCTGTATCTAAAACATTGTGGATAATCCTGTATCTAAAACTTTGTGGATAATCTTGTATCTAAAACTTAGTGGATAATCCTGTATCTAAAACTTAGTGGATAATCCTGTATCTAAAACTTAGTGGATAATCCTGTATCTAAAGCTTGGTGAATAATCCTGTATCTAAAACTTATTCCTTTCTAATCTCTCTCCAAAATCCGGTTAAAGTTCAAGAAACCTTTCAAAACTTTAGAAATAAATAAGAATGACTGCTGCAATTTATAGCTTCTATGTGAATTCTGTGAAAAGTTTAACAATTTTAAATTTTAAAGAGACTGCTAACCAATTCTTTAAAAAATAGTTATTTTGATGGACGCCAACTGTTGTAAAAGTCATTTTTCAAATTAGATAAAATATAACAAAATTGTAATTAAGAATTTTGAATAACGAAAAGTAGCAGAACTGAATTCTGAAAACAGAAGTTTAGAGAAAGAAGGTTTAATAAAAAAATATTAAAAAGTTAAAGAAATTAGAAAGACGAACATCAAGTGAGCACTGAAAAAAATGAGGAAAAAACACCAAAGTTCGGCCCGAACAAAACAACTATAGGAGTAAGAAGGTAAAAAGAATAATTAAAAAAAAAGATTAAGAAAGCGAAGTAAAAAATATAATTAGGGAAGTAAAAAGTGGAAATAAACAAAAAGGAAAGTAATGAAGGAAGTTAAATTAAAAAAGTAAAACATGCAAATAGAAATTAACAGAAATAGAGAACACAAAAGAACAAGATAAAAGAACGGAAATGAAAAGAGAAAAACAGAATAAGAAAGTAAATAGTAAAAAAGGGACATGAAAAGGGAAAAAAGGAGGAAAATTTCAGGAAAAAGGAGAAGGGTAGTTGACAAGAAAAATAACGCCCAAGAGTTCGAAAAGAAGTGTAAACAAGTTACAATTGTAATAACCTGTCGATGTTATTTTAAGCAACCCAAGAATGTAATGCAAGGAAAGTTAATTGCAGTTGCGTATACTCTGCGTACATATTGAAACCAATTCTTCTGGGCGGAATTTATAAACAAGAATAGATGCCTCAGTGTTCGTTTAGTATCCGAGGAGGTCAAAAGCATTAAATTTTGATAATTTTGATAATTCACATAATAGTTTCCTATAACCATAATATTGCATTGATTATTTATGTGAAAGATCGATCCCATTTCAGGCTTCGACATCCTTCAAGTGTTTACAATACCGCCCAGTTACAGTACACTGCAGTACAAAACATGCGTACACCTCTGAAATAACTTTCCTTGCATTAAATCCTTGAAGCAAACCTTCTTTTGATTTTGAAGAGTTGCACTTGTACTTTCATTGTCTAAGCAAAATTAATGAATGAATCATTCTCGTTTTTCCTAATTGAAAATTGATAACTTTCAATTACAGTTTTTTGTAAGAATTACTTGCGGGGTTATGCAACAAAGACATTAAAGGAAATTTAGATAAATTATATGTTTTAAAACGGACTGTACGTTATTTTTTAATTCCATCTTTCTATACATATATATAAAGTAGTAATCTCTATTTGTCTGTCTGTTTGTATGTCCGATCATAACTATAAAACCACATTACTGATTTACTTCAAATTTTGATTGGGGAACTCGGGAGAACCACGGGAATGTCCTTAGCTTGGTTTTGAGATTCTAAGTTAAGTGGTTCGACTTTTTCGGGAAAAAAGTTAAAATCGTAATTTACGACAAAGTGCGGGTAAACGGCGGGATTAACTATGACTACCCTGGGGCAACGTTTGGATCCGATAAAGGGGCTAAAAGCTACTTTTAAGAATAAAGTGGTGCTGCATAAAAATCTGTGAAGGGAAGTGAAAAATCTGAGAAAACTTCTGTTTAAAGCATGAAAGGTCTGTTTAGATGTGACCCCCCCCCCCCAGGTTACGACCTGAATAGGCCTGCACGGAATTTATCAGAAGCACGCCAAAATGATACAGCTTAAACAAGATAAGAAGTGGAAAAGAGAAAAAAAATTAGCTTTTAATAAACCTTTAATACCCCCNTATTAGCACAACGACTAGAATGTCAAGAAATGTGCGTACAATAATAATATTTTTTGTTTATTTTTATGTTTATGTTATTAATAATTATCATATTGTTTATACCGCCAGTGTCTGCAGTGTCTCTGTCCAACGGTCCATATCATCCTCCTATAACTCTAACAAGGGGACCCAGTCCCTATACCCACCCCCCTCTGTTAAACCCTTGCGACTGACTATAATAAGGAACTCAAGAATAAAGGGCCGAGTGGTGTGTTTTTTTTTATATTTTGTTTTTCCTCCTTCAGCTAGGAACATTAAATCCTAATGTGTACTGCATAATACAATGTTTTGTATAATACAAAATAAACCAAAGAACCAAGTTTTCTTATTCAATGTATTATGTCAAAGTTTTACTGGATTCTATGACAAAGTTTAATGAGATTCTTTAACAATTTTTAATATTTTTAATGATCTAGTTTCCATCAAATCTACATTTCTTGCAGTTCAATCAGAGTTTTCGAAAGGAATAATTTCTTTGGATTTTTCTATAGGTTAAATAAAAAGATAGGATTTCTTTAAACTAAAATATAGCTTATGAGGAAATATATAAAAAGAACGAACAATCTAGCATTTTTTAACGAACGATTTCTAGCTAGAAAAGACCCTGTCCAGTTCTAGCTAGAAAAGATCCTGTCCAGTTCTAGCTAGAAAAGACCCTGTCCAGTTCTAACTAGAAAAAACCTTGTCAAGCTCTAGCTAGAAAAGACCCTGTCCAGTTTTAGCTAGAAAAGACCCTGTCCAGAACGGTGAAATATCGTTTGTACTGATGATTGATAGGATTAACGTACATTCGTACTAACGTTCATTCACTATATATCACACTTAATATGTTCAATCAAAATAAAATTCGTGTGGAAGATTTTTTGACCACGTGGAGAACTATCTTTCTAAATTCTAGCGGAATTTGGCTCATTTAATTAATTAGCTCCATTGAACATATTTAAGTAGGAATGAACAAAAAATGTTCAATTGCACTAATTAGCTCATTGAACATATTCAAGTAGGAATGAACAAAAAATGTGCAATTGCACTAATTAGCTCCATTGAACATATTCTAGTAGGAATGAACAAAAAATGTTCAATTGCACTAATTAGCTAAAAGTGTGGGTCGATACGAAGTTAGTAATAATGATCATATTTTAGTGCTATGAACAAAAATTTTTCAATCAAACTTAAATCAAAAATTTCATCATTTTGCACATTTACCCGAATTAGTACAAATATTTTAGTGCAAATGAACAAAAAATGTTCAATCGAACTAAAATAAAAATTTTCACCATTTTTCCCATAAATTATAATTAACACATTTGATCTTCTTTTAGAAACAAATGAGCAAAAAAATGTTCAATCAAACTAAAATTTGAAATTTCACCATTCTGCACATTTTCCCTAATTAGTACAAATAAACATATTTTAGCGCAAATGAAAAAAATGTTCAATTGAACTAAAATAAAAACTGACAGACAGTTTTCCGAGAGGAAACCAAACTTTTTTAAGCAGAAACCATTTTAAAAGAAATGTAGATTCAAATAAAAACTTTTATTTCAGAGTTGTTTAATTTTTTTAAAGTTGTCTTATAAAGAAAAATTTCTCAGGGCACTTCGTTTCCCTCTTTCTAAAGAAGCTTATCTTGACTTTTTACTGAAATTCTATCTCCTTTTTCTTCTGTTTATAAATATATTAAATCCAGTGGCGTAAATAAAGGGGGTTATTGGGGTTACATACCCCCCCCCCCTAGAATCTTGGGGACACAAACATCCCCGTTTAGTAACTTGATCTCCATTCTCCATGTCCATGATTACCATTAAAAGGAAAAATGTAAAAAAAATTACATAAAAAAAATTTACCCCACCCTACAGAATCCTTATTTACGCCCCTGATTAAATCCATTAAAAATATCTTATACAGGGCTACCCACAAAAGATGAGACTGTAATGACGACCCAAAAATCAAAAACCAACAAAAAAGTAAGTTTCAAGATTCAAGGAAATAAACACTGTCAGAAACAAGTTTGCAAAAATTACTAGTCGTGTCTGAAGTCACATCCTTTGTATATAACCTGTATGTTTATTTCATATTTTTTATATTTTGACTACATTATTTAGCATGAAAAAATTACCAAAAATATAGATAATGAAGAAAAAATAAGTTATATCTATTCACTCCTGTATGCCGAGTCCATTAGCGCCTGATCCAATCAGGGTTCAGCCATGTGTTTGGTGTCTATTCTGAACCAATAGAAATAGTATGGCGGTAACATATATCTTTCTTTCTATCTCATTATCCAATTAGAGACATGAATCCTTCAATCGGCGCTATCAGTAAATGGAAATATTTACTTCTACTAAAACTATAGCGTATTATTCTAATCACCTGGTTTATCCAGTAGATTTATCCAGTAGATTTATCCAGTAGATTTATCCAGTAGATTTATCCAGTAGATTTATCCAGTAGATTTATCCAGTAGATTTATCCAGTAGAATTTAGAAATACTCATCAAAAGCTTTAATATTTTGGGATTCATCCCAGTTAAGCAATCAACATCTGAAACTACTGGTCTCGGTAATTCCAAAATGTGGTCTAACATTTTTGCCTTTTGGACCTTCAGAATTGACGGAGTTATCGAGAATTTTATTCGAGAACAAAAAATTGTTTAAATGTTTGATATCTCCGTCAATTTTAAAGATATAAAGAATGCAGACCACATTTTGAAGAGTTCAAATTAAGACATACAATCCTTTCATCAAATATCGGAAATCAAAGACGATTGTCAAGTTGCCTCTCAATTCCCAAAGTGATCGATTGATTGATCGATTGATTGATTGATCGATCGATACAGAGGATTATTTTTAAAAATATCTTGGATGTATATTCTATTGGCATTTATTCTTTTTCCTATATTCAATGTTCTCGTCAACTGTAAACATGTTTCTTTCTTTGCCAAATCATTAAGTAAACCATTTAAATACATATATTTATGGCAGAAGAAATCAGTTAAACTTTAGATCGATGTAATTCAAGAGTTTTGCATGTACAATTCACACCAGTATCATTTACATTTTTGCATTTTTGTCTGTTAGAAAATGATTGAAAAATATTATTTTTCTCGAAGTATTCATTATAAATGACTTGCGAATTTATGCTTCTCAGACAATGATGTAAATTGGCAGAATTCAACACACTATAAGATAGAAAAAGACAATATCTTTCTATTTAAAACCTTATTTACTGTGGGTCTCCCTGTACATCTGCAGTATATGTATGATGTTGAATTAAATATATCTCATGAAAGGTGAAAAGATCAGTTGTTTAAAAGGAGAAGTTAAATCCATGAATAGAAGGTTGATAACAACAAGGTTGTATAGATAGATAGATAGATAGATAGATAGATAGATAGATAGATAGATAGATAGATAGATAGATAGATAGATAGATAGATAGATAGATAGATAGATAGATAGATAGATAGATAGATAGATAGATAGATAGAGTTTAAAGATTTTTTTTCGGTTTCACTTGTAACTTTTTCGTCTCTTTTTTCTTAGAATATGTGTGGAGAAAATTAAGATCAAAGTTTTGGAGTTTAGAAAAAAAAACCTAAAATGTTATCAACAAAAATTATGTTTTTCGAAATATTATTATTTGTCTAAGTCAATATTATATTATCAATGTAATTATAAGGATACAACTGATTTTATAGATTAGAAATGTAAAGAAAATTACGAAAAAACTTTTAGAGAATACAAATGAGTGATACTATAACAATGATAACCAGAAAACTGTAGAATAGGAAGACTACATTAAACAATACGTTAGTCCTCTGTTTAGTTTAGGTTATTTTGGTGAACAATTGTAGCAAATACCTACTCCATAACAATTTACTCAAGACGTATCTATCCAGGTCTACTCGTTACAAAGATCAACCATGACCAACTCTTCGATTCTTAATGCCACAAAGGCACTATCTCAACCAGGCTTAACTTTCCGGGTCTTAAGGATACACAGTCCAAAAGTCAACCAGGATTAATCCCTAGTTATGAAGGACGCACAGTCCAATGAAATTGCTACACAGGCACTATCTCTACCAGGCTTAACTCCCCGGTTCTAAAAGACACACAGTCCAATGAAATCTTATTATGTCTAAGTTTAAAACAATCATTTATGACGTACAACGTACTGCAAGTTTACAGAATATCATGTTTGCTCTCCTTTTTTGACTATANGGAAGGATTGGGAGTGGATTGGGAGGGATTGGGAGTGGATGGGGAGAGATGGAATGATTTAAGTAAATGGGAGAGAGGCGGAAGAGTTAGTAATGGATTGGTGAGAGATGGAAGGTTAAATAGCTGAATTAAAAAAATAATGATTACATTTTAATTACAGAACAAAATAAATAAAAATGTGATGATAAACTGAAACAGCTTTAAAAGGTAAATACTATTAACATGCAACCCATTCGAATAATCTTCAACATGAGATTTCGACAAATCAAATAATTCAAATTGTTGATATTTATTTTCAAAATTTTATATATTGAGTTTATTTTCTCTGAGTTTTGATATGAACCTTGAGATATCTCCAACCACCTACCTAAACCCTTATCATATGACCCTATATGTATACACAGCTACATATAGATACGCCCTAATATCAAACAAGAATAACAGAATATTACCGCTTTCATACCAAAGATATGTCATGATTAACATGAGAATTAAGTTACGTATTTTTTAAGCGTACCCTAAAGGGACTGTAAGCGTAATTTCAAATGATCCTATTTATGCAACGATAGCAATGCCCGATAAACGGCAGTACCCTTGAAGGCTTTACCTGATCAAGTATAAATTAGATATGCATCTTTTTGTTCCTTTAAACTGTTTATTTTCATTTGCGGTTTTTCTACGATTGTGAATTGTGCATTTCTTGCTTACAAGAAGCAATATGAAAACTCACAGAAATAAATACAAAGAGTATTTCCGTTGTAAATCGGGCATTGCCATCTTTGCATTGAGGGTCACTTGAAATTACGCTTACAGTCCCTTTAATACCCAGATAAAATGGGAACTCCTGTACAGTGTAAATAGATATTGAATATCTTGTACATTGTACACTGATGTACAGAATTAATATTTTTGTAATAATTTTCATATTATTTTGGCCGCTTTTGTTTGCAGGATTTTGTAAAAAAGGTGTAAAAACGCAAAAACATTTCGATTAATAGATGAAAAATATGTTATCTGTTATACATACTTTGCTTGTCTATTTGTTTGTCTGTTTGGATCCAATAAACGTCAAACCGGCTGAACAGATCGGGCCCAAATGTTTTTTGGGACCTCTCGTGACCCTATGGAAGGTTTATGGATAATCGAATTTTCAAAAATTTGCCTTAAACAAAATTCGATTTTTAAAAATTTGAAAATCCGCGATTTTTTTTTTTATAAAATCCACAACATTCTTTTTTTTTACACTGTATACAAAGAGAACATGTTTACAATTAAAATAGAAGGTGGGCGCGAAGCGCCCTAAAAGCCTTGTTCTCTTTAAGACAAAAAGTTTTTAACGTTTAAATACAACATTAGAAACCTGAATTTACAATTAGTAATACATCTGGAGATACTGAAGTTGTCTTTTAACAGAAACTTTGCAACAATTTTGACTATTCATGAAATTCAAATCCTTAAATTTTTATTTACTCTTTAGTTTAATTAAGTTTGAAGTTCTAAGTTGTAGAATTGTTTCCCCATTTATCCTGTGAATACATAGTAATTGCAAACTCTAAATTGTAGAATTATGATTTTTCGGCACTTCTCGTCTACCTTATATCTATATATATAAAGTTGTAATCTATGTTTGTCTGTTTGTATGTCCGATCATAAATAGCTCATGAATCCCTTGACCGATTTGCCTCAAATTTTGATTGGGGAACTCGGAATAACCACGGAAATATTCTTTGTTCTGTTTTGAGATTCTAAGTTAAGTGGGTCTACTTTTAAAGGGAATAAATCGTAATTTACGACTAAGCGCGGGTAAACGGCGGGTGTAACTAACGGCATTGACAACGCTGGGTTCTCAAGCTAGTAAATCCATTAATTGTTTTACAAGAGAATATCAGCTGATGGCAAATCAAGAGAATATCAGTTTTTTTAAACATTTGGAATTATCATGAACGGTTTACAACTATACCCCTCCAATGTTTTCTGAAAATCTGTCCTGATGAATATACAGTTTTTCATTCTTCTTCTTCTTCTTCTTCTTCTTCTTCTTCTTCTTCCCCTTCTTAACTTAATTAGTTTGATATACAGTGAGACCCAAAAACTGTGGAATAGGGAGACCACTGTTAAACTCAAGTTATGATTCAGCCAATTAAACATTAAACATGAATTCTCTTATTAAATTCCCCTTGAAATCCGTAAAAATGGTGACCAAGTCCTAATAATTTCTCAGGAATTTCCGGAGAAGCATTCAGGAGAATTTCTCAGGAATTTATCAGGGTGAAATTCCGGAGAAATACCCAGAAATTTCTCGAAAATAATTTTATTATTTAATTCCCCTAAAAATCCGTAAACTTGGTGACCAAGTACTAAAATTTCTCAAGAATTTCCGAAGAAGTAATCAGGAGAAATTCTCAGGATTTTCTTGGGGTGAAATTCCGGAGAAATTCCAAGGAATCTCATGGAACTAATTCTCTTAATAAATTCCCCTAAAAATCCGTAAACATGGTGACCAAGTCCTAAGAATTTTTCAAGAAATTCCGGAGAATTATTCCGAAGAATTTTTGAGGAATTTTGTGGGGAAAAATTCCAAAGAATTCCTCAGGAAATTCTCGAAACTGAGTCTCAAAACTGTGATTCCACAAAAATCTCTCATCTTGGGGACCAATTGTGGGGAATTTCTCGAGAATTTCCTAGGAATCAGTTACAGGAAATGATTCTCGAGAAATTTCCTGAAAAATTCCTCAAAGAAAGTCACCACCGCTGGAGAATCTGGGGAAATTCCTCACTTTTGTTACTTGGGTTAAATTATAAGTGTCCACAGTGGATATCGAGACTAAGCTATCAAGATTTTCAGTATCCAACACAAAAGTTCCCAGCTCTGGCATCGAAACTTTTGAGTTTGTTTTTCAATTTGATTCTCAATTATTTTATTTTTATAATATCTTTTTTAATTTCAGATATCTGGACTTTTAGCGTTGTCGAGACCTTGGAAAGTACAAACCTGTACGGAGCAACTGTACAGTACAGCGTGGTTCACTACGAAAGACGACACAGCACAGTACACCAGTACATTACGGAAAGCAGTACAATACGGAAAACAGTACAATACGGGAGCCGGTACAGTTCAATAGTACCGTAATTGAGCCGGTACAGTTCAATAGAATAACATGGTTCTAAAGAAGTTTGTTGAGAACAGATGGGGTCACTCCTCAGACACAAGGTAGGTCATATCAAAGGGACTGTACGCGTATTTTCAAGTGATACCCTCCGGGCAAAGAAGATGGCAATCGGCAATATCCCATTCACAAGGACAATCTTGAAACCTTTATATGATCGATATTGTGGAAACTATTTAATTCAGAAAATTCCCATATGTTTCCTAAAGTTTAAATGTGCAACTCACTTTTTTGCTTTAGAGTTTAACCACAATTGAAAGTAATCAGTTTTCAAAATTATAAACATTGATATCATAGTTCATACTTCATCAGACAACGCTTTTAATTACGAGAATCGGGCATTGCCATCTTGGTCACTTAAAATCATGTTTACAATATCTTTAAACAATAATAGATTTTATTTTAATTTAAATTCTTTCATCTTCTTTTGTGTAGATCTATTAGTAATTAAAAGTTAAGAAATCCTACTTTATATATACTTTATAGTCAAGTTTATTTATCTAGCGGATTTATGAACTCGCTAAATAATTCTATTAATTTAGCATTAAGTTGAGATATACACAGTTTACATTATATAAAATAATAAAAACTTGAGACTTGAGATGTTTATTTTCTGTTTAAATATAGATTATTCAGTTTTTATTCATATCTTAAGAAAATTATAACTTATTTCGTTCTACTTCTAAATTGTAGATATAGCTCTTACAAACGACATAGAATTTTATTTGGAAATGCATAATACATACACTCATTTAAGCATACCTATCAGAGTCGTGTATAGAGGGGTGGGGGCTATGGGGGTTCAGCCTCCCCCCCATGGATCAGTGAAATATATGGTTTTAGAGGGATATTCAGGCCCCAAAGGTGTAAAGAAAAATTAAGCCCCCCCCCGAAAAATTTCTGAATACGCCCCTGAACTACATACATACATTTATTACATACATACATACCTTCATATAGTAATCTAATTTTATCCAATATATTATTATAATTAGTAATATTATTGTGCACCGGTTATTTTCTGTCAAAAAGGGGGAATGTACATTTATTAATACAGTTATCATTACACTTAAAACACATAAGAAAATATAGGTATAGGTATCCAAACTGTTGAGTTCCGAAAGTTGTTTTTGTTTTATTAGATAGAATTGTTATCAAAGTTTAAATTATTAAACTGTTGATTGGATCCTTTATGAGTGTTCTCCACTCTTGTATCTGAGTGTAGAGGATGGTTGGATGAGTGCTCGAGGTTGGTATAGAGTCTATAGAGGCTACCAGTCCTCACACAACCATACTTGTGCGTACACTCTCCAGTTCCAGTCCATCAGCTGATTCTACTGTTCGCGGATTTATCATTTTTCGCTGTAATCAAGTTCCCGCCAAATTTCAAGTAACCGCCATTTTTAGCTAGAGCCAAACCAGTTGTTAGTGACCTGAAGTTTAAAGAAAACATTAGTGTCCAAACCGGTTTTAATTCTGTTAAACTCAATACAACTTTAAATAATTATGAAGAGTGAATGGTTTCCCGAAAAACAAGAAAACTGAATGAAAAGGTAGGAAGTAAAAGTAATAAATACATGGTCTGTATAAGAAGCATTTTTAAGGCTTCTTTATAGTTTATACGCAAATATCTTTATCATTATCAAACCTCAAGTTCTGCTTTCTAAAATAAATTTAGCATATCCTCATTATTTATGCAATGTATTTTGCACACATCGGAGACTGGTTTTACAAGGTGCAAAACACACTACAAACTTATTTCTAAAAAGTAGTACTGGCTGGCATAAAAAAAATCTTATTTTTTTTTCATGAAGGGTAAAAAAATTGAAAAAAAAGAATTTTAAACAATATAAAAAAATTCTAATATTTTGTAAACTCTCTCTATATGGCTGAATAACAAAGTGTTGAAATTACTGAAGTTTGAATAGTAGAGATTCAACAGCGCTCTATTGGATAGATAGATATATTCTCTTAGACACCTTTTCATACTTTAGCAAAACACCTTTAAGGAACAGTAAGCGTAATTTTAAGTGATCCTTCATGCAAAGATGGCAATGACCTACTTAAAACGGTACCCATAAGAGCTTTGTCTGATCAAGAATATCCATGTTTTTGTTTCTTTAAACTGTTTATATTCATTTGCGGTTTCTTTGTGAAAATGTCTTGTGCATTTCTACGTTTATCACGTTTCGAGTTAAAAAAAACGACAGTGTTCTCCACATTTTTGAGCAGATTAAGGTTTCAAGGGTATCATTGTAAATCGGTTATTGCCATTTTTGCATGGAGGGTTACTTGAAATTTAAAGAATTTTTTGTCTATTTCAAAATACACACAATTTAAAGCAATTTTCGGAATTAATAAAAAAAAAACAAAGTCTATCTAAACTCTCTGCAAAGATATTACTGAAGTCCAGAATTATTAATAGTATATTGCGCTTAGACTTTACGATAATCTTTTTTGCAGGAAAATATGGAAAAAATTTTATATACTAGCTTGAGAACCCAGCGTTGCCCAGGGTTCTCATAGTTACTACCGCCGTGTACCCGCGCTTGGTTGTAAATTACGATTTTAACTATTTTCTCCTATTAAAGTGGACGTCTTGGCACTCAGCTATAGATGTTTCCAGAACACGGCCGTCATCAATATAGGCCACTCACTATAAAATCTCAAAACCAAGCTAAAAACATTCCTGTGGTTCTCCCGAGTTTTAGATGTTAGCGAACGTGACTCGACCAGTTTACCTGTATTCCCCTGTATTCCCCTGTATTCCCCTGTATTCCCCTGTATTCCCCTGTATTCCCCTGTATTATTCCTCTATTCCCCTGTATTACTCCATGTAATCCAACTCCTGTATTACTCCTGTATTCCTACTATATTCTCCGGTATTCCCCGGTATTTCCCTGAATTTTTCCTGTATTCCCCGGTATCCTCCTGTATTCCCCTCTATTCCCCTGTATTCCCCTGTATTCCCCGGTATTCCCCTGTATTCCCCGGTATTTCCCTGTTTTCCTCGGTATTCCCCTGTGTTCCCCGGTATTTCCCGGTATTCTCCTGTATTCCTCTATTCCCCTGTATTACTCCATGCATTCCAACTCCTTATTTCCTTCTGTATTCCCCTGTATTCCCCTGTATTTCTTTTGCATTCCTCCTGTATTCCCCTGTTTTCACCTGTAATTCTCCTGTATTTCTCCTGTTTTCCCCTTTATTATTCTTGTATTCCCCTGTATTCCTCCTGTATTCCCTGTATTATTCCTTAATTCCCCTGTATTCCCCTGTATTCCTCCTGTATTCCTCCTGTATTCCTCCTGTATTCCTCCTGTGCTCCTCCTGTATTCCTCCTGTATTAATCCATTTATTTCAACTCCTGCATTACTCCTGTATTACTTCTTGTATTCCAACTCCTGTGAGAAAACGAAAAGTTTAAGAATAAAGAAGATGAAGGCTGAAGAGAACTAGAATTGAGAACTAATTAGTTTTTAGAAGCCCAAACTTTTAATTGACTTAGCAACTCATCCTCAAACCATAATCTTAAACCTTACAACCAAAAATTCCGGTGTTAGGTATTTTCCAGAGGGCGCTTCCCAAGATACAATTTCCCAAGTGGCAACTTCCCAAATGTGACAATTTCCAAAGCGGCAACTTCAAAAGGTAGGCTTCTGACTTCTGAGGCGTCGCAGGATGCAACGGGGACCGAGCGCTACGGCTAGGATGGGATAGGGGAAGAGTGCTAGGGCTAGGATGGGATAGGGGAAGATCGCTACGGCTAGGATGGGATAGGGGGAAGAGTGCTAGGGCTAGGATGGGATAGGGGAAGAGCGCTACGGCTAGGATGGGATAGGGGAAGAGTGCTAGGGCTAGGATGGGATAGGGGAAGATCGCTACGGCTAGGATGGGATAGGGGAAGATCGCTACGGCTAGGATGGGATAGGGGAAGAGTGCTAGGGCTAGGATGGGATAGGGGAAGAGCGCTACGGCTAGGATGGGATAGGGGAAGATCGCTCCGGCTAGGATGGGATAGGGGAAGAGCGCTACAGTAGAACGCTAGACTTGGGAAGTTGTCGCTTGAAAAATTGCACGTTTAGGAAGTTGCCACAAGGGGAAAATACCTTTGTAAAAGTACCTAACATCAAAGTTCTTTACAACATATCCAAGTTTTTAAACATACAACATAAATTTGTAACCTTACAGCTAAAATCAGAAACTCAACAACTCAAAAGAATTGAGTTTTTGCCACAAACTCAGATTTGTTCATCCCTATATCTTTGCAATCCGATGTCGGAGACCTTTAGTATTTTAAAATATGAATTCTGTTAATTAAAATAGTCTAAGTTTAAAATATCAAAGGTTAACACCATCAGGTTGCAAAGATACAGAATTTTTAACATTTGAGTTTGTGGCAAAAACTCAGTTCTTGTCAAGCCATACACACTTACAACCAACACTTAAACTTTGCCACCAAAATTATAAACTAAAGAGTCTCAAATTTTATAGTTAAAACTTTTAAAACTTATAAACATAAATCTTAAACTTTACAACCAAAAGTTTAATCCTTACAATCAGAAGTTTAATCCTTACAACCAATATGTCGAACCTTAATTTTAAACCTTTTAACAACCTTAATATGTAAAAGATACTGTATTTGAAATTATTTTTTTGCTTGGCCGTTTTCTAGTTTTTATACCATAAAAGTTTAAACGGCTGAACCAATCAGTCACAATTAAAATAATTTAGATTTTTTTCTGCAACATATTGAAAATGCCGCCAAAAAACGGGGAAATCTGTGAAACTTTTAGTTTTCATGATAAGCAATAATTCAAAACTAAAATCATTTTACTACTGTATAACTATACTGTATATATCTATATACTACTGTATTACTACTGTATACTTTATGCTGTTTACCTTTTATACTACTGTATAACTACTGTATACTTTATATACTACTGTATAACTACTGTATACTCTATATACTATTGTATAACTACTGTATACTCTATATGCTACTGTATAACTACGGTATACTACTGTATAACTACTGTATACTCTATATACTACTGTATAACTTCTGTATACTCTATATACTACTGTATAACTACTGTATACTCTATATACAACTGTATAACCACTGTATACTCTATATACTACTGTATAACTACTGTATACTCTATATAGTACTGTATAACTACTGTATACTCTATATACTACTGTATAACTTCTGTATACTCTATATATTACTGTATAACTACTGTATACTCTATATACTATTGTATAACTTCTGTATACTCTATATACTACTGTATAACTACTGTATACTATATATAATACTGTATAACTACTGTATACTCTATATATTAATGTATAACTACTGTATACTCTATATACTACTGTATAACTTCTGTATACTCTATATACTACAGTATAACTACTGTATACCTACTGTATACTCTATATATTACTGTATAACTACATGGTATGACCCTCCTGGGAGAAATAAGAAATAAATGTTCTGAAAACATTGATAAACAACTCTTCACACACTCGAGTATACACAATTCACCACACAAAGTCAACTATTTACAAATATCACAGTATTTCTTTTATTCTGACAGAAGAGTTAAAGAAAATTTGCCAACCTGTGAAATAAAGATCATTTTGCAACCGTTGTCTATTTACAAATAAATAAACCTCTACTTTATCACTTTATCACTTTATCACTTTATCACTTTATCACTTTATCACTTTATCACTTTATCACTTTATCACTGTGGATACTTTTGATTTCTGCTTAATCCGCTCCATTTCCCTCTTTTTGGATATCCCTTCTGGATTCTGACCAATAAGAACTCTCTCATAAAATAGCGCGCCAAATTTAAAATTTCCCGCCTTCTGAATTCTAATTGGCTGTTCGGGATTCTCCACATACCATTCTGATTGGTTGAATTTCAGAAACTTTCCTGGATACAAACTAAAGATTAAAATAATCTTAAGATTAAGAAAAAGAGGAGATCAAGCATTGATCTCGATATCCACAATTCTAAAGTGTTTAGCTCTGTAAGCTTAATTCTTGGTTTTTGACTTTTACCTATATATCCTTATTGCTCGATATAGGTAGCAGGATATCAAAAAAAGGGTTTGTTGAAGCCAGAACCTCATTTTTTGAAATTGTTTTTATATCTACTCAAAATTGAAAACGCCAAAGATTTTCAACTTTAAAGCAAAGATTAAAATCTGTTCTTTTTCAGGTATTTCTGAAAATTAAATAAATACCCTTGAACACTTGAGATATCTATCCGGAAACTGAAAGTCCTTATTTGCTTTATTTATCGTTAAACTCTGAAGACATTGATTGCTTGAAATATTTATCCTTAAACTCTGAAGACATTGATTGCTTAAAATATTTATCGTTAAACTCTAAAGTACTTTATTTTTAAAATATCATTCCATAAACTCTAAAATCCTAGATCTCTGAAACATCTTTCCTTAAACTTGATTGTTAATGTTTTCCTTAACTCAAAATTCCTTGATTTTTATCCTTGAAATCTAAAGTCCTTGAATATTCATCCTGTAACCTACAATCCTTGAATTGGACTTGACTAGTCTAGTCTAGCCTAGAGACGAAGAAAATGTTAAGGAAGAAGATGAAGAAATCAAGGTCATCCTTCTCATATACTGTGATATACCTTCATAGATAGATAGATAGATAGACTGATACATAGATAATGGATAGATAGATAATATATAGATAGATAGATAGATGCAAAGATAGATAGATATTTTAATCGTTAATCAACTCATTACTACGAGTAAATGCTAGTTGTTGTGAGTATGGCATTAAAACGTATTCATTTAGAAGGACCATGCAATTATCTATGGACTTGGACTGAACTCCCCCCCGTCCTCCCGGAATCGTAAGGTAGTTGGCTTGAATACATATCCTTACAGATTTAGTAGAAGTAAATATTTTAATTTACTGATAGCGCCGATTGAAGGATTCATAACTCTTATTGGATAATGAGATAGATAGAAAGATAGATGTTACCGCCATACAATTTCTATTGGTTCAGAATAGAAAACAAACACATGACTGAACCCTGATTGGATCAGGCGCTAATGGACTCGGCATACAGGAGTGATATAATGACTTAACCACTAAGCACTGTTGTTTCAGGATTTCTAGCGAACAAACTTCTGGTTTAATATTTTCACCTTACAAAGGTCATTCTTAATTCTTGTAGGCCTCATTTGTTTTAGAATAAAGGGTGATTCCAGGGCCCAATTTGGTGGTTGAAAGATGATTCCTAGGCCGCATTTGTTAAATAGAAGGTGATTAATGGGCCTGGGCCCCATTGGTTAAACGAAAGGTAATTCTTCGGTCCAATCTGTAAATTGAAAGGTGACTCCTGGCCCCTGGGCCCCATTGATTAAAGGAAAGGTAATTCTTGGGTCCAATTGAAAGGTGACTCCCGGGCCCAGTTTGTTATATATTTGAAATGTGATTCCTGTGCAGTGTGCCATACTAAAAGGTGATTCCTGGGTCCAATTGACGAAACTTATAATAAAATTGTTTATGATACTAAACCCAGTTTTGTCATCATCATTGTTCATTTTTCATAACACAACTTTATTTTATGCATGAAAATGTTTGTATAAATTTGACACAGCTTTATATCAATTACTCGAGACAAGAACATCAGATATGGGTTTCGATCACTCCTAAAGTGCTTAGGTTTCAGCCTATACCCTCTCTCATTTTCCTGTACAGTCCCCTTAAAGTATCATCCTTTGTTGATAACCTTGTGTATTATTTATATTGAATTTTTATCAAAAGAAACCCTTTTACAAAATTAATGATTTCTCCCTTTTAAAAACAATCAATCTATGTTGTTTCAATATTTTCGGTAATGGACCCTCAATAATGCAGTGTAATAAATTCACACATAAACTTCAATAAATTATATTTCTTTCAAATACTACAGCATTTAAGGGGG